ACTCTGCCGACGAGGTTGGTGCCGGAGCATTCTCGTTCCCCGCGTGTGTCCGCGGTGCGCTCGCGGTTTCATCCTCGGCGCCGATTCCGCTCAACGAGCGGCCTCAGCGCCGGTCGTTAATTAGTCGCCTCTGAAATCTGTTAATTGAGGAATTGCGCTGCTAAAGCTACCGCCACACTATACGCGCGATTCGTGATTCGTAGAAATTCATTGGACATTCGTTATTACTTGCCGCACTGTTCGCGATTCGCAGCTTGTCATACGTAATTTGCAGAGTTGGGAAAGTTACTTTATAAAAGTATCCAGTTACGGTTACAGGTTTTTCGCTAAAAATGTAACTAGTTAGAGTTACAAAGTTACCAATTCTGAAAAGTAACGCATTACAGTTACAGTTACTCAATAAGATTACTAAATGCTTGTACGAAGATCGCAGATTGTTGCGTATGTACAAAGCAACGAACGTGCTAATTTGAGTATGTAAGAGTTGCTCCGACACTTGTTTCTTTCCCGTGTACGAATCACGAATCGCGCATAGTGTGGCGCCAGCTTAACGTGGAATCGCCGCTAATTAACGCCCGCGCGGCTTTACGTGTATTATAATACCGCAAGATCCCACCCGGCCGGCATATCGGGCCAAATAAACCACAACGCGATACAGCTGTCCATAATATAATATAATGAACATTAGCGATTAAATGTAAATGATATTTATCTAAATCGCGTATCTAGGCGGGTACAATATTATCGGTTCGGTCATGTTTGTTCTGTATACCGCGCTAATTTCCGGGAACGCCGTCCGAAAGTAATAACTCCGGTTAGCTGGGCGCGAGCTTTCAGTCGCCGACAGCTCGCATTGAAATCGCGCTTGCGCTAATTGCAGGCACCGCGACGTATAATGATTCCGTCTACGTGGGTGATATTCGGCGCTCGGCGGAGAGAAGCCCGAGCGCGCGCCGCCGATTTAATTCCAGCGCACGAAACGTTCAATTTCCGGGGTCGTTCTGACCCATTAAATATTAGTGCCGGTTAAATCGCGATTCTGATTTTAATCGATGTCGACAAGGCAGATGTACCGCTCGCTTATATATTTCGCTCGCTCTCTCTCTCCCTCTCTCTTTTCATTTTACAAACGTTTATTCTGTATTTTTGCTGCGGAATTTTGGAATGGTCTTCCATCACGACTGCGAGAGGTGGAAACAATTGGAGAATTTAGGCGCAAGCTACTCTGGGAAAAAAAGACAGCAACCCATTTTGGGGCCCACAATTAGTAATCGAATTATTAGGATTGTCCGTAACTCTATTCTGGGAAAAATTTTGACCGTTTCTTTTGTAGTTAGGCAACTTAACATTTTGGAATTAGTGCCTCTTAAGTGAAAATTATCTTTGCGTTACTGAATATCGATAGAACTAATTGAGAGAATTGATTGGTATTACTTAAAAATCATTTTAGTACAAGGTTATCAAATACCTTTGTTATCCGTTTACTGAATTGCAGTGCGGAATATTATCCTATTCAATCGTGTTAAGTATTTCAATTTCTGCTCCAAAAACTCTTCCACCATAATATACTATACATATATTTATATTCCTTTATACTCTTAACTTTCACAGTTATATACATATATTTCTAAAATGCGTTTCTCACTCACAGCTATACTTTATCTATATAAAGTTATTACTAAAATTACTATTACTTTCGCTCTCACGCTTTAGGAGACTTGTCCCAGGACGTGTAACAGATAATGATTCTGATTCTTTCTCTTCCTCTCTCTCTCTCTCTCTTTCTTTTTCTCTGTCTTCTCGCCCCATATACGTTCACAGGTTTTATTCCCGAAATGTCGAAAAAGCCCCGAGAGCAAGGGGTTTTTATTTCGAGTTTTTATTCTCGGTCATTTGCGCTAAATCCCGCGTATACGTGACAAAACATATGTTATTTTCGTTTATAATTCGGGATGGTGCAATGAGAACGGTCAGCGCGATATCGATTTCGAAATTTTCCACGGGCGAATGAAGAGGCGTTCGTTGGTGTTTTGGAAACATAAGAAATATGTTAAACAAACGGCGTCCAGGTATTCCAAAGCTCGCAGGTAAATTCACAGCTTTGACAATAACGTTCATTGCAGCCGTGTGCGACAATGCGCTACGAATAACTACCTCGCGGTGCGTCGCGTTCAAAGTGAGAATCGAACAAAATCCGATCGGAGCCCGATGCCTCTCGAAATAGCGCACTCGCTCAGTTTCGTTCGGGTCGAAACGACAAATTTCGCAGCGTACGGGTAAAAAATGGCGGCCGATTTCGCACAGCGTGGAAGGCAGATTTCTACCTTTCGTTCGACAACGACATACGAAATCAACGATTCCCGCCTCGCTCTATCTCCCTCTCGCGAATTTTAACGTCGAGATCGTTATTACGCCGAGCGAGGATGCCGCCGATGCCACAACAGCTGGCAATTCCCCCCCTACCCCCCCCGCGCGCGCAATCGGACATCGATACAAATGGGAGGAAGCCTAATTGGCGACCATTTAAATTCGCGTGGAGAATCGAAATCGGAGAGAGAGAGAGACCGAGGGTTACCGGGAGGGCGGGCGGGGAGGGAAAGGGTCCGCACGGTGCGTCAGGACACGCACGGCGGGTATACGCATTACTAATATTACGCCGAGTCCGAGCGAGACACGCGCGCACGCGTGTATTTTTGAGTCATCGCATTTCAATGCGATCCGCCGTGCGTGAGCGCGTGCGTGCGTGCGTGCGTGCGTGCGCGCCTAGTCCGCCACGCAGGTACATGCACGCACAATTTTTAGCGCACGCACACGCGCGCGCGCGCGACGTTCTCGCTCGTGCCCCGATACGCACATGCGTAACAGGGTTTTCTATCTTTTTTATCTCTCCGCCGGCGCCCCCGCCGCTCCCCCCGGGCCCACGCTACGCACCCCACCTTAACCCCATAGCAACCACGAACGTCGACCACCATTCGGGGACAGTGACGTAACGACTCCGTCATTTTACGCCTGCGAGCACGCCGCGGAAACTGATTAAAACTCGCGTCCACGCGTTGCCGCTGGTACACAAAATCAAGCGCCGGCCCCAGTCGTCGAATACTAGCGCGATTCGCGACTGAAGATTCGTTGGAAATCAAAATAATCGTTTCGACAGATGAAAACGCGCAACGACCCCGTGCCGAATTTTTTGCTCTCTGCCGCGAACGACCGCGCGCATCCGCGCCGCGTTTCGACTCCGTGGCGAGGGCTGATTTCGACAAAAACCCCGGGCGTTTTATCGGCCCTTCGACCCGTTGTCAATCGACGGTCAGGTGAATTGTTCCGAAGGACTCGGGGGGGCGGGGGGGGGGAAAGTACCGACAGTGCCCGTCATCGCCCGCCGCGCTCGACGCTCGACGAAGAAATAGAGCGGATTTCGCCGTAAAGCGCCACGTCCGGCAGGTAGTAAAGATTTAGCAAGAAGCGTTATCGTGCAGTAAACCCCCGAGTATCCCCGCGACCGATTTACGGTCCTGAGATACGTCTCCCGCTTCGCATATAGCGTGACCCCGTCCTTCTCCCTCGTTCTTCCCCCGTCGCACTTGCTCGCCCATTCTCCCTCTCCCTCCCCCTTCCGTCCGCGCGTCGTTCGGCGCTCGTTCTCTCGCTCTCTCTCTCTCGCTTCTCTTCGCTCCTTTACCGTCTCGCTTCCCGTCGCCCCCCCCGCACCCTCTCTCTCTCGCTCCGTCCGTCCGCCGGTCTCGCCTTGTCTCCGTCATTGTCTCCCGCCGCTCTTCCACCGTCTTCCTCGCACACGCACGCACGCACGCACGCACGCACGCACACGCGCCCAGGCACAGCCGCTGGCACATGCACCGTCCGCCGCCGCCGTCGCCGCCGCCGCGCGCGCGATAGTCTCCGCTTTTTTCCCCCACCACACGCCGCGCCCCGCTTCCTCCCACGCCTGGGGGCCGGGGACCATCGCGGAGCGGCCATTCCTTCACCGAGCCTCGAGTAGCGCGCATCGTCACGCCGTTCACGCGCCGCCGGTTCCGCAGGAGGCAACGCCTTTCCCGAAAAAACAATAGACGGACGGCACGCTGTCCCCCCCACCCGTCCCCCCCGTCCCGCAGCTGATCGCGAAAGCGGAGCGCCACGGGGAACGCGGTGCGGACGCGAGGACGGGCGACGCGGGTATCTCTGTATCACACGGAGGGCCGAGAGGGAGAGAGGGAGAGAGAGAGAGAGGGAGAGAGGCAGAGAGGAGAGCAGCCGACACACACGAGGAGCGACGGCCACTGTCAGCCGAGCGCGGCCGCCAGCCAACCTTCCCGCGCCGCCGGTTCCGTCCCCCTCGAGTAAAGTAACCTGCCTGCCGGAGCGGCGGTGGCAACAAACCTTTTTACGTTCTCAGCCGTGACGGGCGGACTGTGACTCTCGAGGGGGCCCGCGGCCTCTCGGCGCACCGCGGCCCGCCAGTCTGTTGCGCGCGATCGTCGTACGCGGCCGTCGTCGAGCGACCTCCAACAAATCGGCACCGCCGCCACCACCGCCGCCGCCACCGCCACCGCCGCGCGCGGCCGCAGGAGGAACAGGAAGAGCGAAGCCACCCCCGGCTGCTGCCGACGAACGGAACGGACCCCGCGCGTGCCCCGGCTGCGCCGTCGAGTGAACCGCCGAGGGTGACGTCCAAGTGCGAGGTGCGAATCGCGCGCGCGCGCGCGCGCGCGGTCGCCGGAGTCGAGAAGAAGAGAGGTCGGCGGAGGAGCGGAAGGGAGTGAGAGAGAGAGAGAGAGAGACACATACGCTCCGGCATCCATGACCCTCGCGGTGACTTGACGGGATCGTGAATGTCGCGATCGTCGACGTCGTCGCGGGCAGCTTCGTCGCTCTAGTCGCGCCGGGAAGCTCCTCGTCGGGCCGCGTGCGCGCGCGCGCGCGAGGAACGCGGCGGTCCCCCGTTTGCGCGTCCGTTCTCCCCCCCCAGCCCGCCCGCCCGTTTATCATCCCGCGCGCGTATATATGTGTGTGCCGAGTATATTATTATCCCGCGGCGGACTTCCGACGTTCTGCACCGAACGCCAGTTGTAGCGCGTATTGCGCGTCGGCAGAGTCGCCGCGCCGCTCGTCGCAGCCAAGTGAGTTCGAAAGTGCCCGAGAGTGCCCGCGGAGACGGACGGAGAGACGAGAGAGAGAGAGAGAGAGAGAAAGAGGACGTGGTGGAGAACGAAGGGAGCGAACTCCGGTGATCGTGACGAGCGTCAAGTGAGGCGCGACGCGGCCGGAGGGGCGGAGGAGCGAAGCAAGAGGAATTTACGACGCGCGACTCCTCGCTCGATACTCCTCGCTTTGAGCGATCGCCGACTGCGCTTCCGTCGAGCGTCGGCGGGCCGGAAGCCGAGACCGAGGGAGAGAGAGAGAGAGAGAGAGAGACCTCACCGCCTGTTTTAGAAGATGTTCCGAGCGTACGGCACCGCGCCGGCCGAGACACCGGGCGCCGACCTCTACCCCTGGACTACGCCGATCTTCAACAAAGGTGCCGCATCATTCAGTTATTAAGTTATTAAGTTACTCCGCTCGCGCTTATCGCGTGGCGCGACTCGGCGCAATTTTACGCGAGCGCGCGCGCGCGCGCGCGTCACTCCGCGGCGCAGCAGCGCGAGTGACGTAATCGCGGCGAACAGGCCGTTTTCGGACCGAGGGGAGTTCACGGCAACGGCGTGCGGCCGCGCGACCACGTGATATTCCCGCCGCGTATTTTCTTTTCTTCCCTCCGCCGCGCCGCGCCGCGCCGCGCGAGCCGGCCTCCTCGCGAAAAGCGCGATCGGGACGACACGGTGCAATATTGCGCCGCCACCGCAGCGATGGCGACGTCGTTTTTCGAGCACGTGACGCGGCCCGTCGGCCCCGGGTGGGGTGCGCGCGGAGGCCTCGCGACGAGGGGAGGAGGAGGGAGGAGAGGCACCCGGGCGGAATTGTTGTTGGAAATTGCCCCGCGGCGCGGCTCCGGCCGAAGCGGTTTCGCGTGCCGGATTTCGCGCGGAGAGGTGTATCGATTTCCGGTCCGCCCGCCGGGCGAACGTAAATATCGTCGGGGTTGCGAGGGCGGCGGGCGGGAAAGAGAGAGAGAGAGAGAGAGAGAGGAGACGGGCGGGATAAACGAGTTGCCGTGGATGAGAACGTGAAATTTCCAGGGGAAACGCGATTTCAGACGGCGAGGCGGATAATCCGCCTCGATGCGGCCGCTGCCGCGCGCCTCGATTTAAAAATATTCCGCGCGTTCCGTTCTCGGAAGCGCATATACGCGGCGGCGAGGCGGTCGCTTCTGCCTCCTCGGTCGCGATTGATTTGAAAGTTAATGGACGGAACGCGCGAGGCGAACCTTGGAAATTTGCGGTAATCGCCTCTCCTCTCGCCACGCTCGCGCGTATACGAAACGTTTTCCTTCTTTTTTTTCCTCCTCCTCCTCTCTCCCTCTCTAGCTGCGCGCTCTCTTCATTTATTACATTTTACTATCTTCTCTCTTTTATTTCGCAACACGCTCCGATATCTCTCTTTTTGAAACACACCTTTGTAACACTGCTTTCAACTCTAAACCGAAGGGTAAATCGCCGAGGGCATTGCGGTGTACAGATTTACGGCATTACTGGGCATTACTGGGCGTTACTAGGTATTTTTTGGGCATTAGGCCTTGCTGGGGCCTGATAAAGATAAAATAAGGTAAAACGAGGTAAATAAGATAAAATAAGACAATAAGATAAAGTAATGCCCATTGGGCATTAGCGGGCATTGGTGTACAAGATTTTGGTCAGCGGTTTCCCCCTCGACTCTCCTTCCCTCCCTTCCATCCTCCGCCGTCCCAGAATCCGGAAGAACGCGGGATCCGGCCGCACGTTCGGGACCGTCGTTATTCGCAGGTTCTAACCCGGCCTCGTTATCGCGAAATATTGCTTAATCGAGCGCGAACGCGCGTATCCCGGATATTTATTTACCGTCGAATATCCGCGCCGAACAGTTTTCGCTAAACAGTCTTAATGGATTTCATTTGCGCGAGGATACGACAGATATTAACGTTACTCTTTCGTGATTAATAGACCGTCAATCTATCATCCCGCACGTGATTTCGCTCGCGTGCCAAGTATTCGACGCGGCGGCGAGGCCGCGAATGCGATACAACGTCCGTAGGCATATACGTCTCGTCGTCGCGCATTATTGCCGAGCGCTGCGTTAAATAACGCGTCACGTTGCATCGCGATAACGTAATTTTTTTTCCAAGCGTTACACCATCGCCTCAACGTCACCGCGCACGTCGTTCGCGTCAGCGCTCGCCGGCGAAAACGCTAATTTACGAGCGAGTCGCGAGGGAAAAAGCTGCGCCGCGCGCATCTCGCGCGACTCTGAGAGGGAAAAAAGGCCCCCCGTCTCCGTTTATTCGTCGGTGATCATTATTTATCGTATTATCGACGTTATTTATTCGCGCCGCGGATTTACTCGTTATTAACGGCGATCGATCAGCTCGCTCGTTATCGGTAAAACCTGATTTATCACCTCGGAACAACTCCCGAGTTTTGACGATCCGCTTCGACGCTTACCGCGACGCCTGAAATGCGATTCCTCGAAATTCAATTCCCCGAAAGTCCCACACCCGCCCCACGTTTATTTCCTTCCGCGTCAAGTTCGCCTCCTCCACTTCCGTTACTTCCTCGCCGTCTTTCGATCCGCTTCCCGAGTCTCGCGATCCGCGCCTCCACCTCGTCCACGGCCAGAAAAAAAGACTGATGTAGGTTAAACCATTGAGACACGCATATCATGCTCCTTGGATTCTGCTAAATTTTCATTTACTTGTACGAAAACATTTGCTAGATTTGAAGAAATAGATATGAATTCTCCTAGAAGTTCCCGAAGGGCAAACCGCTGAGGGCACTGTGGTGCGCAGATTTGCGGCATTACTCTAACATTTTTTGGGCATTAGGCCTTGCTGGGGCATTAGAAAGATAAAATAAGATAAGGTAATATCCACTGGGCATTAGTAGGCATTGGTGTACAAGATGTTGGTCAGTGGTTTTCCCCTCGGGAGTTCCAGTCTCGGTCAAAATTTTGGATAAGATTAAGAAACCATTTCTTCGAAATTAGATAAGTTCTAGTAAGGTAAACATTCAAAGAAAGTTCGTTTACCGAGTGCATTCTCTCTTTCTCTTCCGTTATCTCTCTCCCGTTTCTTTTCTATTTATCCTTCAATAATGCTCTTCCGCTTTTAGTCACTCGGAGCGTATCCGGATTATCGATCATTTCCGGGCGATAGTCGCGAGCGCCTGCGCCCGCGAATCTTTTCCGCCAGCCGCGGCAAGAATACACGTCATCGCGCGGAACCGTCGCCGAGGGAAGTGGATCCCTCCTGAGGGATAATCGCGGCCTTCCGCGTTCGAGGACTCGTCCCCCCCCCCGTCTCTATCTCTCTCTGTCGCGCAAAGGCGGGGCCCTTTAAACTTTAAAGGCACCCGCCGCCGTGTTACCCTCCGGTAGGTCAGGTGCGCGCCATCCGGCCCGTCACCTGTCTTAACCACACGCATTCCCGGTTACGTTAGGTAGCGACGAGCCCTTCGACGCAATGTCTCCTCCGTGCTGCCCTCGAGAGCGAAGGAGCATCCTCTCCCTAGCTGAGAGACTCGCGCAAGACGCCGCTCGAAAAGCGAAGAGGCTGCGGAGAAGCGAAATCCGCGTTCTCCAACCCTCTTCAACGTTGCGTTGAGATCCGTTTAGTGGGAGACTGATCGTTGGATCGTGTAATCGTTGTTGCGAAAAAATACAGATTTGCGATCGTATCTGGACGGTGAAAATCTACACAGTTGAAAAACCCGTGTTAAATTTAACAGATATCACAGGTCCCGAACGGTCCACACAAATTTTCGTGTTAATTTTACATAATATGGATATGTTAAACACTAATAGTCTATTAATACTTTAACACAAGATAAATGCGAGTCTCAAAATAATTTGAAATAAATTTTGTGTAAAATTAACATATTTTTAATGACAAAATGAATTTAAAATAACACAAATTTTACATTTTGCAGATGTAATAAGTTAAATGACGGTTTGAAATCAGTCTCGTTTATGTTGTATAGAACAAAATAAACATTTTATTCTGTAAATTTTAGCAGATAAATCTTGCTGCTAATAATATAGAGCATACGTATTGTGTAAGATTAACAAATAAGCACACATTGTGTTGTTTTAACATTTCTCTTCAATTATTTTAATAATTTTACATTTGAGGTCAATTAACACAAGAGCAATATGTGAAATTAACACATGAATTTTAACCGGTACTTTCTTTAACAAGAAAACACAAATTTTCCAACTGTGTGGCTTTTTTGAAATCTGACAGACACCACGGCGCGGTTCTTAAATTGCTTGTTGTGCAGTTTCACTGCATCTCGGACGTGAGTTCTGCGTACTGCATACTGTTTAATTTACAGTAAAGTTACAAAGTAATAATGGTAATCGTCCGCGGCATTTTTACCGCAAGGCAAGAGGCGAAAGAGATTCCGATCGATATAAATCCGCGCACCGCACGTGCACATTTCTCAATTTGCAATTTCTCGCGGATGTCGGGCAAATATTTCCGACATTTCACTTTAATATTTTCACTTTAACGTGCAATATTCAATTTTAAATGCACATCAATATGTTATACGCGCATATTACGTAATTTATTTGAATTTAAAATATGCGCGCAACGTGTGCGACAGTTTCGACGCGCGTACCAACATATATTTTCGCGTGTAATCATTCGAGCACAATTCGCGAAGCTCGATCGCGCCATTCGGCGCCGAATGTTCTCCGCTCCGGCGTTTGCGTCCCGAATTGACATTTCATCCCGCGGCCGGTCGTCCGCGGATAACGGAAACTTGCGGCAGGCAGAGGCACCTGATACGCCAGGTAGCCGCGGTACGTACGCACGCAGTACGCACGTGCGTAGACACGGGTCCAGAGGGACGCGCGCAGAGCTAGGCTGAAGTTGGTTGGTCGGTCGGTTATTTCGTACGCCGGCGGAGAGTGCCTTGACCTGGCCTGACCTGCGCAACTTTGCACCCTACCCTTACCTACCGCCCTCCCGCCCTCCCCCTCCGGCTTGCCCCGTGCCCCCCTCTAGTCGCGATGCTCCCTTTCCAGCGGTCGACAGCCCGCTCGTACCCCACGGGAAAACCCACCCTCCTTGCGTACCTACGCGGCACGGAACAGTGGAGCGATGCTCCTACTGGCTCATCCTTTCCCCGCCCTTCGTCATTCTGTCATTCCCGCAGTTTAAGAGAGCCCGTCTACCTGCAATTGTTAAGTTTCTGCAGCAATGTAGATACTATTACTCGCAACATCCCGATTCTCAGGGACGTGGACGCGGACTGTTTCAGTCGAAATATAAACAAATAATTATCTTTGGTCGTAGGAGGCGCTCGTGTCTCTTTATTATACGCGCGGAGGGGATCCCTCGGTTTCCAGATCGTTTGAGAATTATGTCCTCGACGCGGATGACGG